AGGCCAGGGGAGGGGAGTTCTGTAAATCAAGTTTTCACAATCAAAAATCCAGTTTATGATTTAAGCTTATATAAGCTTATATAGAGTGACAGAGTAAAGCAGCAATGTGACTGAATTCTCAGGAGCTACAATTCTAGAACATTACACATTGTTACAGGTAGAGCATTGGTAGATGATTTCATAAGGCTGCTGGAATGAAGATAGCTGGATGACATATTAGTGACAGTTCACATTCTAAAACCATTTATCCTTCCTTCTGTTTTCCTGAAGCATGGCCCTGTCTTTGCTCTGAGCTCTTTTAGGTGCTTGCTTGGACAACTGCAGCTATGCAAAGAACCCAGAAACGGAAGCTTTTGCAACATGCTTCAGGATGTCTACATTGTAGCAGGGGTGTGAATGCAGCCCATACAAACACTCCCGTTACCTGGACTCCAATTTGCAGCAAGCTAGTTGAAGTGTACCTTCTCAAATGGACGCATGTAATTGTGTGGCCAGGGCTGCAGCTATTTTAAACCAGCTAGCTAGAATACAGCCAGCAGGCACGCATCTACACAAGCTGCTATTCACACCTATGGTTGCAGCATACACATACCACTACTAAGTGACACAAAGCTGGTGTCATCCTGAGCAAAGATGCTCGAGTACATGAGCTCTAGTTTCAACAGATTAAAAGCCAGAATTCCCTTCAAAGCAAAGGCCAGAAGTCACTTCCCTACAAGTGACACTAGCCCTATGCAAGCTAGAATTATGCAGAAGATTGAACAGCCCCTTGATTTTGCATTAGCTTAGATCTCTTTACTTTATGATGCCATTAAAGGGATTAATTTAAATGATCTGTTTCAGGCTGACATTTACAGCAGACTATGGAAACTTTATACAAGACACTCAAACCCAGAAGGTGAGCATGGTTTAGTTCTGCTCATCATTGAAGGAGGTAAGAAAAAAGCAAACATGATATAGGATGTTATAACTTTTGTACCCGGTAATTTCCCTGAATGCCACAGTAGGGTGCTAGTGCCTTTAACATTGGAGCTTTAAATATACACACGAGGCCGGATAACTGCTAGAAGTTCCTACTATACTGAAACTTGCAGCTGTAGCTTAAGTTATTAAACTCCTGTTCTATGTGGCTCTCTCTCATCACTGCTAACAGTAGGCACCGGTAGGTGAATCAAACCAGTCTGTAGGCCCCCATCACGGCTCATGTTTTCTGTGGGTGTAATACAGGAATATGAGCAAACAATGATGCATTATTGAAGCATTCTCTAAAAGCAAGTATTGCCCAACTTGTCATTTCAGTACAAGTTACTTCACACAAAACAGTACATCACAGTACTTTGCCAAGAAGCATTCGGTCCTCTTTGCACACCACTTGTTCAATATAGGACCGTACATTCTGTAGATCTCTGCAAGTGAAACTCTGCTCTGTTTCAGAGGCATTTTAATCCAAACACTTTGCTTCTTCCTCATGCAGCAAGTATAGAAATGCCCAAGTCTGCCAAGTGTAAGAGTTACCGTGCCTGCTATCAAGACTCATACATGCAAGATTTTCCTGTAGCCCCCTGCATAGAAAGCTCCAGAGGCTGCTAATATTTACATGCAGAGATGCATAACCAAGGACACTGAGTGAGAGATGAGACAACTGGAACAAATTTAGACCAAAAGCAGTGGACATTTATTCCTCATTTGTGCAAGAGTGTAAAGATGCATTTGAAAATGGATGGGACAGACCCCCGTGGCTGGAGAGCTGGCGGCTACAGCCTCTCCTTCATTTTGATGGCTTGGTTTACAATTATTCTAAAGGAGATAAGTTTGCAGACTCACCTACTTCACATGAATGTTGCTGGCAAATACACTTGTTTACAAAGTAAAATTTCAAACTACATTTTCACTAAGTTCAAGTGAAGACTTTGTTCAAATAAAAGACACATACAAGTACAATTTAAAACCATATGAACATTTGCAAATGTTCAGTGCAAAGTAAGCATGTAAAAGCTACATTTTATGAACATTTGTGCTGATGCGTGTTTGATCATTTTTACCCTTTTACATCCATTACTTTTAGTTACATAAGGTTTCACTTACCTACATATGCATTGTGTTAAGTCCCATACAAGTGGGAATAATACCATCAGGCTTTGTAAAATGTTGCTCAGATCCTCATTAAGTAAACTGCTTTGTTGCTGGCACACTACATATCTTGATTTCACATAAGCGCTTAACCCTTATGTTTGTCGTGTTCAGGTGCATAGCCTTTAAGACAAACTGAATTGCTTCAGGATTCTAAAATGCAGCTGTTTGTGAATGCAGATGTTTAAGGACAAGCCACCACTCATTTTAGCCTGTAACAAACTGGTTTTAAAATTAAAAGCCTATTCACACAAAGTTATATGTAATGACTGTAGTAATCAGTTTATTACACAGATTAATCATTCTTGAACGTACAAGCCCCAGGGGAGCAGTTGGGTCTTTAAATATACACGAGTTTTCTGTCAAATGAATTTTTACCCTTACATCCAGAAAGACCTAAGCAGTTAAAAAACTTAAGAAAATATGAGCTATTAGCTATGTATTAACTGAGAAAACCACATACAAACCAAAAAAAAAAAAAGTATGAGGGGAGAGAAGAGTTGAAATAAATCAACATCACTTGATGCACTAATAGCTCCAATCCATTTAAATGTTGACCATTTAAACTTAGACCTTAAACACAGGATGTGGGTACAAGTTTATCTTGTTGGTCGCAACTTTTACCTAAGATGTAGATCCTTCAGAATAAAATGAATACAGAAACAGCTCTGAGTTCTTCACCTTGTTTTCCATAACTGTCATGAGTTTAAAAGGATTCCATTTTTAAAAATCCCCCACAAGTCAGTGAACTATCCCCAGAAACCCACCATTCCTCCCTCTCCTCATTTTATTACCCAATTTAAGTCAATAAGGAATGCTTTTAGGCTCACAACTAGGTTATGATTGAAGAACTGGCTTTTCACACACACACACTTCTTTGCTAGGAGTCAATGTTGGTACGGGGAATACAGTATTTCTATTTTGTTGTTCCAAGTATGTACAACACGCAGCACTGCTGTATCAGGTAAACATGTGCACAGGGGAAGATGAGGCGTGGGCTCATAGAAAGCAGTCAAATGGAAATCAAAAGGACTTTCTCTTTCAGAGTTCCCCTATCTTTATTTGTAGAGGTTATCCAATAATTTCTTTAATTACATCGCATACTTCTGAGTCCATTCCCGAGCTATTCTGTTGTACCTGTATATATAAAAAGAGGATTTGCTTAACATCAACCATTCAAATGCAAGAGACTTAATATTCCAGTGGAATGTTCTACACATGCCTTTAAGCTAAGTTAGTCAACATCAGCATGTTCAGTCAAGTATTTTGAAAATAAAGTTACACAAAAATAAGTGCCAACGTAACCCTGTAACAGAACAGGGAGTAAACTTTGCAGTGTTTATAATTGTTTCAGCAAGCACCAGCATCTTTGGGGCAGACATATAAAAGATCTAGTTTTCTATTTGAAAGGAAGACTTAAATTTACATGTTTTCTAACCACTATCTTTGGGCAACAGCATGTTACTTTTGTACATTTTATCTTCATGATACTCAAAGCTTGGTATGATGCAAATTGTTTTGGCAAGGTTTTGCTTCTGCTCTCTCTCCAGTCCTCTTCTGATGTAAGGAAAAAGTGGTAAGTTTCCCATAGCTGCTGAGCTGCGAGATACTGCCAGATTCAGAACAGTGTTAGCATTAGTTCATGTTGGCTCCTACTATTATGGTTCAGTAATTGACCCAAGGGGAACGAAACCTGGGTGAGGACGTGTCAACTGCTAAGGAGCAACCTGCTTCTCTCAGTTCCAATCCAATCCTTTTTGCATCCAGTGCACTCTTTACAGTCAGGAATTGTGCACACAGGACATTTTGGATATACCGGTAGTCTAAATATTATATTGCAATTTAAAAGTACTGCTGATATGTGGAACATCTTTGTTCCACATCTTCTCCCATTTGTCTTCTGCAAACGTTTCACAAGAAGGCCCTTGACCACCTTATCTTACAGAACTCAATCTTTGTTCCAATAAAACTGAATCTAAGAATGGTTCCTTGCAATATAAAAGCTTTATTTCGATAACCCATTAACTTTAACACTGTTTGAAGCGTTCTAAAGCCAAGTTCAAATGCGTCGATAGCACAAGATTAATGTATTTTCATGTTCCTTCCCAGATTATACAAGAATATACAAACAATGGATTTGTAACTTTTATAGTTGTACCTCTTGCCATACTGCTGAATACTAATAATGCAGCTTTGATTGCAGACAAGATACACTGACTTTCCCCAATATCTGCTTCTGAATTCTCACACATCCAGAAACTTGCTTAATTTCACCTCCCTCCCTACTCACAGGTTGCTGAAGTGCTGTCTTGACTTCATTAGATGGTCGTGAAAGGGAACTGCTGATCAGTTCTGGAGTGGAACAGCTCAAGGGGAGGGGGGATTAGTTTACAATCATCATTAAGCAATTTCTCAGACAAGTTCCCTTTTAAACTGAAGCAGTTTGAGTTCATTAATGCAAGAGTTCTGATTTTTGCAATTTGCTCCTTTAAAGCTTCCCCCACATCTCTTCACCACTCTTATCCTTCCCTTGCACCAAGTGTGCTGTAAGAACGTGAATCGGGGTACTGCTTAGTTATGTTCATGTATCACCACCACTACCTAGGACATCAGAACTCTGTAATAACTTGTTCTCCTGTTGGCTATACAGAACTGAAGCACAGACAGGGCTTTTAAAGTGTGTAACAAACTGATGCTGCAAAATCTGTGTAAAATATGGTCCTTAGCACAAATTACATTTGAGGGCTTTTGTAGCCTTATCAGGCTATCATGAAGGCTTAAGTAGTTAAAGCAACTAAACAGATTTGCACATGGGCAGAGCACCTAGTACAGGGTTGAGGATGGGGATTAACAGGGGGGGGGGGGGGGGGGGAGGAGAAGAGAGGATATAGCTTACTTAAAAGTCCCTGAATAGAGAAACTAGAAACAGACTTCCATACAGAAATGCCATTAGGTAATATTACTAGAGGAAGACTAGTGTCAGTGAGCACTGCTTAGAGGCACTGTAGAGACAATGTCTTGACAAGACCAAGGGTTTACAAAGGATAACAATGTAATAAGTTTAGAGTAGTTTTTTTGTAAAGTAATCCCATTTCCTTTACCTTTGGCTCTTTGAATACAGATTCTGCAGTTTTCACATTAACTGAAGTGTTTGAAAGCTAAAAAAACTTGTTATACTCACTTTTCTCTATCTGTTTTGTAGATCCGTGCAATCTCAGGCACTAAAGGATCATCTGGATTGGGATCACACAACAGAGAACAGATGGACAAAAGTACTAGAGAGAAAAAACATTGCATTACAATTTAAGTGCTGCTGAAAAAATCCTGTAGAAAGTAAACCTACCTGATTGCTATTTTAACCTTTGATATCTGGAATGAAGAGGTGGTGATACAAAAAAAAAAAAAAGAGTTAACAGTAATGAATAGTAAATTTCAGAAAATTTAGCCCAATGACTTTACATACTAATTACCATTTCGCAGCTGAACTAAGGTTTTGTAGGACGATAAAATAATTCTGAGTACACTTTGCTAATAGAGACAGAACGGTCCAACTACAAGTTGGACTCACCTTGAAAAAGGGGTCATGCAATTTAGAAAATAAAAATCAGGTATTGTATATAAAGTTGCCTGAAATGTAAGAAACTTAGGTCCTGGCTTAGGTGGAAGATAACTGGAGAATTAATTATATGATATAGTAAAAGAGCAAATGAAAAGGGGAAGAGATTTTAAGACCAATTATTCACAACTTTGTTTTAATGCTTTAATGTTATCTGTCCAGAATATTACTCGTTTTAAGTTAAGATCAAACCACCGAGGCCATATCTAGATTAGGAAGACTACTGGCCATTATTTAAACACTGCTCTGCATTTAGTGCAAACAGGGAAGACATTTAGAATGTGAAGACCTTCTCTGTTTGAACTAGGTGCAAAGCCCTACTTAATCATTTGTAAAAACTTTCCAAGATCCTGAGACATCCAATAGGCCCTCCAAAGTGCAAGATTGACACATTGATATTTCTGAGGTTTAAACATATGAGGGGGGAGGGGGGAGTGTCTATATTGTTTATTAACAGCAAAATTAGGCACGTATTAAAAATAAGGTTAAGGACTAGTCGACTAATCCAATAAGCAAGTGCTACCACTGTAGTATAGACAAGGGCTTCCTTCTCTCCCCTTCCCCCTGACCAGCTCAGATGCTCAATAATTCTCACCACCAGCTCAGCCCCAATCATGGTTCAACAGGAGTAGTCCTGCCACACATACAGCCTGGGCAAGTTCAGATAGCAACGTTCAGGTATGCAGCCCGCCCCTCAGGTATGCTAGGACCCAGGGATGTTTGTGTGTAGTTTACATGATTAACCAATTAAACCTAGGGTTGCCAGATGGTTTAACCAAAAATACTAAATCCCCCCCCACCCCCCCAAAAAAAAACCCACTGAGGAAAAAAAGGGGGGGGGGAGACACCAAAGTTGTTGAGCAAAAAAGACCCGACAGTTAAAGCAAATATTTCACACACACACAGAGCATGGGGGGGAAGGAGGGGAGAGAAGAGGCAGAAGTCACTCCCATGGAGCTACCTCCCCCTACACAGCCTTTCACAAAAGCAGCAGGAGGGAGGGGCCATGGGGAGCCAGCTTTTAAGTTGGCTCCCCGCATGCACACATGCCTGCTCTATGGAGCCATCTGCTCTCCCCTTGCTGCCTCCCAGAGGCAGCAGGGGGGTTGAGTGGAGGTCACAGGTGAGACAGTTGCTTGAGGGGGAACAAGCTTTACCAGCCCAACCCCACCCCAAATGTAGACGTGTAACCATTTCAAAATCTAGTGGTTACACATTTGTTAACATCCCTACTAGGACTCCCATCAGAGTCACTATGACAGACTGAAAGTCTCCTCTGGCAACAGGACCGCAGCGCCCCAGCCACAGAGACTGAGAGCAAAACCGGTCTGGCAGGAGGCAGCCCTCCGGGCCAGTGACCTGGGCGACAGCTCCCTAGGACCGGCTGACACCCCACAGGGGGTAGGGGCAGGGAGCCCTAGGAGCAGCTGCTGCCTGGCACAAGGCCAAGAGCAGGGAAGGAGCAGCTGCCACCTTGCCCAGAGCAGGTGGTCAGGGAGCCAGAAGCAGAGCCCTGCAAACAGGCTGGTGGCAGCAGAGCCAGGACGGTCAGGCCTGGGTTCTCCCAAGGCAGTGGCCAGGAAATGAGTCCCAGGGAAAGCCTGGAGGCCTGACCAGTAAACACCCTTCTTTGGGACTGCTCAGGTCCCCGGGGGAAGGACTAGGAAGGTCAAACCAGTAGAGGAACTAACAGGACATTAATAGCGCTAGCAAATCTTAGAAGGCTGTATCTACACTAGCAGACTGAGTGCAAAATGAAATTAAGTACTTGTTTGCTTCATGGTGGTTTTGGAAACTCTGTACAAAAGGGTCTTCTACAAGACCACACTTATGGTTGTCCCGTGTGCTGAGTGCAAGAGGAGGACAGACTTCTCCACACATGCCCCTTAGCATGACCATTAAAGACTAACTTCAGAGCTAGAGTTAAAAAGAAATGATCCCAGGTATTTGGGACAGGTTGCTGTCACTAGCTAAGTTGTTGGGTTGAGAGAGCAAGTAGTAGATCACAGATGCCTGAGTTAGTGAAAACTGCATTATTATTGTAGACCCTTTACTATGTGTATGTCAAACTATAGTTTGAGGTCTAGAGCTATTTTAGGAAAGAATAAGTTTGATACAAAGTCAGGTTCTATACTGAATAAATTCCTTCAAATGTGAGGTCTTTATGAATGGCAACCTATTTCTTGTTCTGGCTTAGATTAGTGATTCTTTTCCTCAAACACCTTGTTACTAACCAGTCTCTTCAGCCATTTCTAGGTTGTAATACCCACAATATTTTAACTGATTAGCTGAATTTTCACTGAACAGCTTATGTTCAGGAAACAAAATCCTTGAAGGAGTTGTCATTTAAAAGGATGACAAAACGGTATTCTTCATTAACAATTTCTGCACCCTCAGTATCTGAACACACAATTTTAGAAACCTTTAAAGCTCAGGAATGGTCAGCTAGACCATTGGTGGTACTAGCCTGAAACCAATATCGTGACAACCCACTCACTAGGAGATGCTTTGGAGAAAGACAAGATTTCTTGTAGCAGATAGTTATGGAATAAGAAAAAGCCTTCCCATACAAGCACTCTAATACTCGTCAAGAGGTTAGCTTGACATGACATGGTTTATTTTTTCAAAAGAAATCTTTATTACTGTAGATTTGGATGTTATGCATAAAGCATCCAGTCCTTTCAGAATTCTGCTCAACTCTGATCTCAGTACCTTGTAGCAATAAGTTCCATAGGCTAAGTATGTATTACATGAAAGAGTTTTCTTTATCAATTTTTCCATTTCATTTGAAGTTCCCTTATAGTAGCAGAGTAAAGTGATGAAAAGCAGTTGCCTGTTCCAGCTTCTGTGTCACTGTTGTGTAGCGAGCCTTTTATTCCCCTCCACTCAGAGGTCATTTCAGTCTCCCTCACATGATGTTTGATTGGCTAATCACTCACTACCTCAATTCTTCCACTTCCCTAGTGGGCCCCCCCATTTTTTTAAGTGTGACATGACTAGAAGCTAGTATTCCAATGAGGTCATCTCAGTTACACAGCAGCTTTGTCACCATTGCCCATCCTTTCCCCTCAGGGATTTTAACCTTACTTTTAATCTGCACAACACCAGACACCTGAATTGAGCTGTCCACACTGATGTCCACATCTCCCCCCCCCCCCCAATACCTAAGCAATTAGAGAATTTAGAAGCCACCCCACTTCATGAGCAGTTTTTTCCATTTTGCAACACACTGCATTTGAGATTTTCATCTGCTACTGTGTAGCCTGTTGACATCAGTTAGTTAGGTCTCAGACACCTGCAAGTTCTCTCCCTTATTTATCTTGATTTTGTAGATCAGACAAACATTTGCTGTTGTACAGAACCTCAGGACACCATTGTTAACATTTTGTTGGTCTGACTCCCAACATAGCCTTCGGGCCTTTTAAAGAAAAAGGCCAACCTACACATCTGTCACACCACAATCCTCCAGCAGAGCAGCTGTTTTAATGAGGTCATGTGGTTTGCTAGCAACTGCCATTCTTAAGTGCTTTCGTAATTCTTGGATATAGACACACGGTCCCGATCACTTGTGCTTTACTTTAATCAACAGTAGCAGCACCTAAGTCCTTGACAGGACTTTGAAATGAGTGGGTATCACCCCAGCCTCAGTGGTGAAGACTGATGGAAACAAATGATTGTTTCTCCACCATATCCTTATGTTCAATTGCACCCTTAATCTGATGATCCCAACTACCTCCTAGCTCTCTTGCAAGCTTCCTACCGCTCCAACGTGCTTGTTAGGTTTTTTACATTTAGCTATTTGCATTTCATAGTCCATTTTAGCCTTCATTGCTTTCTAGGTGTTTTGCCTAATGAAGTTAAGTGTTCTTGTCATCACTAGGCTTGACTTTCATTTTCTGTACGATAACATTTTTGCTCCAGTAACTTCTGGAACATAGTAAACAAATATGGACAAATAGCTGTGGCTTTTTACTGCCTTTTCTTTTTGGCAAATATATGGTTCATTTAAGAAACCTCCATTTCAGTTTTCCCTACTTTTGACTGGAGGAAATTTAACTTAAAATTCGCCTCCCTCCCCCATGCTAGTTTGTCTGTCTTTACTGTAGAAAAAATTAATGATGCTGCAGTCACTACTACATAGTGCTCAACTACAGTTACTTCCTAAAGCAATTCTTGTGAATTGCTCTGGACTAAGGAGCAGCCTCTCTTTGTACTCCAGAACTAGTTCTACAGAAATCATTAAATGTCACAAGTTTTTCTATACCATAACCCATCTGACCGGCTTATATGCATGTAGGTGAAGTCCTCCATTACTACCACTGCCTATTAGTGTTGTGCATTCATTTTCTTCAACTGGAAGGCCAATAGTATAACCTCAGGTATGTTAGTTTGAATACAAAGTCATCTGGGTCTTTCCTAGGGTTGCCAGGTGTCCGGTTTTGAACCTGACAGTCCCATATTTGAGTTCTCTGTTCAGGAAACAAATTAATATAAATGAGAAAATAGAAGTGTCCGGTATTTTCTAAATAAGATGTAACTTAGATTGTGATGTAATGTCAAGTGTCTTCGGTATTTTTGTTGAAACCATCTGGCAACCCTGGGCTCTTTCCACCCACTCACTTGCTAGATTTTATGGGGCCTTTAGATGAAGCACTTCTC